AAAAAAAAAAAAAAAAAAAGGGAAAAATAATTAATGTAGCGGGTCACGGTGGCTCACACCTGTACAAAATTGGCCAGTAATGGTGGTGCATGCCTGTAATCCCAGCTTGGTCAAGGACTGAATCTTTCGCCAGTATGTACATGTTATATACAGCACGTGACATATACAGGTATCTATGTATATTGGAGACTGTGTTAAGGGAATTCTGCACAACTGAAACCCTGATGTGTGAACAAGAGTTGGGGTCGTCACTCTTGAGGATTTGGGATCTTGTTGATACTAGGAGACCCAGGGACAGCTCTCACCTCTGAAAGAACCATTGAATTCAATCCCTGGAATCCACCCAGACCTTGAATGTACTTTCTTCTTACACAGCATCACTCCCTCAGGACTCACCAGGTGCAGCTGTGCTCACTCCTCTGCGTCCTCTGCCTATGTCCTCCCGAGCACCTGGAATTTCTACTTTGGTGACAAAAGGTCCCAGTCTCAAGTCTCCTCCTAGATGGTGAAGTGGCTCATGCCTCTAATCCCCGGACTTTGGTAGGCTGAGGCGGCCAGATTGCTTGAGGTCAGGAGTTTGAGACCAGCCTGGGCAACGTGGTAAAACCCCCCATCTCTATTTTAAAAATGCAAAAATTAGCCAGGTGTAGTGCTGCACACCTGTAGTCCCAGCTACTTGGGAGGCTGAGGCAGGAGGATCATTTGAGCCCAGGAGGTCAAGGCTGCAGTGAACCATGATCTCACCACTGCACTCCAGCCTGGGTGACAGAGCAAGACTCTGCCTCAAAAAAAAAAAAAAAAAAAAAAGTGCTTTTCTGTAAAAGTAGAAAATGGGAGTTCAAGGATGCGAAAGTAAGGGCTGGAAATGGATTGATGCTGCTGCTCCAGCCCCTCAAATGTTATAAATAGTAGATGCTTCCAGAAACATCCCTCAGGACTTCACCTTTTATCAGTTTGCTTTTCCACTGAGCACAGAGTGAGGGCAGCAAGGCGTGGATCTCATGGCTCAGAAGCATGCTGTCCTCTGAGCTCTTCCTGGTAGTCCTCACCTCCACTAAGGCACATCTGCCAGCAGAACTACCTCTAGATGGCCTCACGGGACCCCACCACGTGCAAGCCTGGCAAGGCTGCCACCTGACCCACATCTGCTGTTGGGGTCGGATGGAAGCCTACAAAACTCAGACTAAACATCTTGAAGTGAGAGAAATGTCACTTCTCGTACCCAAGGAAAGACAGGAAGTTGTTGTGAGATTGGATGGTGAGCTGGCTTCCCTCGTTCCTGCCATGTTCCTGGCAGGACATTCTGACTTGCTATCCAGGTAACAGTGGGCACTGCCTCCACCAAAGGAAGGGGCTGACACCTACCATGGCTGCACAGCTCAGCAAAGGAGGAACTCTTCGGTGGTGTCAGAACAGTTTCTTGGGAGTTCAGTTAACCCTGTGTTCTGGGAGTGACATGAAGCAAGTCGCCTCCATGGCCGGTGGCGCTTCTCTGACATGGTGACTTCCCGTACACCACAGGCTGGAGTTCCATGAAGCATAAGTGCTGGCCTTGGAGGCGAGGCTACAAAACCAGCCCTGCAGCAGCACACATGACACTGAAGAGAGCAGAGGGCCTCGTCACTGTCGGGGCCCAAGCCAGGTGGAATGTGCCAGAAAATCTGGGGTGGGCCAGCTAGGGAAAGTAAGAAGTCTGATTGTGTCCTGCAGTCTATGGCCATACCACCCTGAACATGCCTGATCTCGTCTATGTCCTGTAGCTGGGACATGGTAGGGCATGTCTCTGTGGTACCAGTGTTGGGTTTCGAGACTTCTGTGGAGGTTGGTACAGAGCTATGGTTACAGGACAGTGAATCTTGCATGGCCAAAGGGCATGTGTCCCATGACACAGGTTCTGCCTCAGCTTCTCCAGCCCTCTCATTTTAGAGCTTACCTGGGCTGTCACAGAGAGATGTTCTGGAGTGAACTTTTAAACACATTTACCAGCAAGAATCTACAGTGTGGGTTTGGATGGGAAACGGAGCTAGAGATGACCTCCAGACGGCCTTGGAATGACATGATGCTGACAGCTGTGAAATAGGGTATCCACAGGCAGATGCCACTGGAGAATTGTGGGATGCACCTTTGTTTTCAGAACCACAACATTCCCAAAGGTCTGAACCAAGGACACTGATGGAAACTTCAAGGCACATTGTGGGAGCCCTCTCAATTCTGTGCAGTCATCTGTGTGAGCTAAGGGCTGAGAGTGTTTTTTAACTTTCAGACTGGATTCCAAGAAAGGCCTGTTGGGGTCCCAATACTTTCTCCTCAGCCCTTCAGTTTGTCCTAAGGCGGTACAACGCCAGTCCAAGAGTCACCTTGTGTTGAAAATCTTTTTTTTGTTTGTTTGTTTTTTTTGAGACGGAGTTTCACTCATGTTACCCAGGCTGGAGTGCAATGGCGCGATCTCGGCTCACCGCAACCTCCGCCTCCTGGGTTCAGGCAATTCTCCTGCCTCAGCCCCCCAAGTAGCTGGGACTACAGGTGTGTACCACCACGCCCAGCTAATTTTTTGTATTTTTAGTAAAGACAGCGTTTCACCATGTTGACCAGGATGGTCTCGATCTCTTGACCTTGTGATCTGCCTGCCTTGGCCTCCCAAAGTGCTGGGATTACAGGTGTGAGCCACTGTGCCTGGCTGTGTTGAAAATCCTAATAGTGTAGTTCTCAACAGAGAATATATTATGAGAGAAAGCTTAAGGATCCCTACCTCACAACCAGGGACTTCAAACGGCAGCATGAACTACTCAACTAAGACTCAGCCAGATGGGATAGAAAAAATTACAACTGGATAGAAATAACTACAGAAGTAAAAAATGCTGTTGCTGAATTGGAAATTAGCTCTCATATGGTTTCTTCTGTAGACTCCATTGAAGAATGAATCACATCTAAATCAATATGTCCTTTGGAAAGCATAATGAGAATATGTTCCAATTTTAAACACAAATTTTATAATTTATAAGATCATAACCTTTTATTACTGGGCTGTGTATGTGATACTTTGTGTCTTATTAAATATAACCTGACAATCTTTATTAAATGAAAATACTTTTGTATCATCATCAACAACAACAAAAAAACCAGGAAGAAGAATTTCCCACATTCTTAATATTTATACGGTTTCTCTCCGGTATACATTCTCATGTGTGCTCAAAAGGCTGTGTGAAAGCTTTCCCAAATTTCTTACATTTACAGACTTTCCCCCCACTCTGAGTCCTTTCATATATTCACACTCTAGAGGACAGTTGAAGATTTTCCTGCTCTTTTTTTTTTCTTCATACAGTGGTTTGCTCTGTTGCCCAGGCTGGGGTGCAGTGGCATGATCTCAGCTCACTGCAACCTCTGCCTCCCAGGTTCAAACAATTCTCCTGCCTCAGCCTCCTGAGTAGCTGAGATTACAGGTATGCACTACCATGCCTGGATAATATTTTGGTAATTTTTAGTAGAGATGGGGTTTCACCATGTTGGCCAAACTTGTCTCAAACTGACCTCAAATGATCTGTCTGCCTCAGCCTCCCAAAGTGCTGGGATTACAGGCATGCGCCACCGTGCCTGGCCCATTTTTTTAAAAACAGATTTCACTACAGCAGGAGTCTTGTCTTTGAAATGAATTAGGTCAACTGAAGGCTTAATCACAATGTTTACATTCATGTAGTTTTTCACCAGTGGGGAATTCTTTCATGTGTTCAAAAGAAACTAGAAAAATCAAGGGCTTCAAAACAATATTTGTATTCACACGGCTTCTGTCCAGTATGAATTCTTTCATGTATTCAGAAGGAACTGGAACAACTGAAGGCTTTAGAACACTGCTTACATTCTTAGGCTTTCTCTCCAGTATGAGTCCGTTCATGCAGTCGAAAGTGACTGGAAGAAATGAAGGCTTTTCCACATTGTTTGCATTCATAAGGTTTCTCTCCAGTGTGAGATCTTTCATGAATTCGAACAGAACTTGAAAATCTGAAGGCTTTCCCACATTGTTTACATCGATAGGGTTTCTCTCCTGTGTGAGTTCTCTCATGCATTCGAAATTTACTGGAAGAAATGAATGCTTTTCCACACTGTTTACACTGATATGGTTTCTCTCCAGTGTGAGTCCTTTCATGCAATCGAACTTGACTGGAACGAAGGAAGGCTTTACCACATTGTTTACATTCAAAAGGTTTATTCCCGGTGTGAATTTTTTCATGTTCCCGAAGGGAACTTGAAAAACTGAAGGTTTTACCACATTGTTTACATTCATAGGGTTTCTCTCCGGTGTGTGTTCTTTCATGCAGTCGAAAGGAACTGGAACGAATGAAAACTTTTCCACACTGTTTACATTCATAGGGTTTCTCTCCAGTGTGAGATCTTTCATGAATTCGAAAATAACTTGAACACCTGAAGGCTTTCCCACACTGTTTACATTCATAGGGTTTCTCTGCATTGTGAGTCCTTTCATGTCTTTGAAGGGAACTTGAAAAACTGAAGGTTTTCCCACATTGTTTACATTCATAGGGTTTCTCTCCAGTGTGAGTTGTTTCATGTTCCCGAAGCGAACTTGAGAAACTGAAGGCTTTACGACACTGTTTACATTCATAAGGTTTCTCTCCGGTATGAGTTCTTTCATGCATTCGAAGAGAAATGGACCAACTAAATGATTTGCCGCATTGTTTACATTCATATGGTTTTTCTCCAATATGATTTCTTTCATGCACTCGACAGGAATGAGAAGAGTTGAAGGCTTTCCCACATTCTTTACACTTATAAGGTCGTGCTCCACTGTGTGTTATTACATGTGCTCGAAAGCTTGCAGAATAAAAGAAGGCTTTTCCACATTCTTTACACTCATACGGTTTCTCTCCACTGTGAGTCCTTTTATGCCTTCGAAAAGAACTGAGAAAACTGAAGGCTTTACCACATTCTTTACATTTATAGGGTTTTTCTCCAGTGTGAGTTCTTTCATGAGTTCGAAAGTAAGTGGGACAACTGAAGGCCTTACCACATTGTTTACATTCATAGGGTTTCTCTCCAGTGTGAGTCCTTTCATGTCTTTGAAAAGACTGGTAACATATAAAGGCTTTCCCACACTGTTTACATTCATAGGGTTTCTTTCCAGTATGAGCATGTTTTTGAAAAGACTGGTAATATACAAAGGTTTTTCCACATTGCTTACATTCATAGGGTTTCTCTCCAGTATGAGTCCTTTCATGTCTTTGAAAAGGTTGGTAATATATAAAGGCTTTCCCACACTGTTTACATTCATAGGGCTTCCCTCCAGTGTGAGTTCTTTCATGTTTCCGAAAACACTGGTGATAAGTGAAGGCTTTCCCAAGCACTTTATGTTCACATGGTTGCTTTTCATATTCCTGATACTCATTTGGTTTTTGACCAGTGTGAGATCTCATGTGCTTATTAGGGGATGAATGACGCACAAAGTCTTTCCCACAAAAGCTGCATTCACGTCTTTTTGCTCCAGTAAAAGTTTCCTTGTTCATGTTAACGTTTGGCATCTGGCTAGTGGTTTCTCTACATTTGCTACCTTTTCTACTTTCACAGAGTCTCTCAACCATATGACCTCTGTAAAGAATGAGCAGCACATTATTAGTGGCTTTTTTTTTTTTTTTTTT